AAAGCCCTAAAAATATTTTTTTGTGTTTTTAATTCTAATTTCGTCGGAATTGATGAAAACTCCCTAAAATGTGAAATTTATAGAGGAAATTGGCCTACCGTAACAAGAAATGCGCGAAAAGAATTTGAGAATTTTAGGCACTTTCAGAGGATGCATTTGTCAAGGGGTGGGGAAAGATTTTCCAAAGATGGATATTTACCCCTTGTCCCTCTGTGTTTTTAATTTTAATTTCGTTGGAATTGATCAAAACTCCCTAAAATGTGCAATTTTTAGAGGAAATTGGGCCATGCTAACAAGAAATGCGCGCGAAATTTGAGGTTTTTAGGCACATTCAGGGGATGAAAGGGCATTTATAAAGGGGTGGAGAAGATTTTTCAAAGATAGATATTTTCCCCTTTCCCCCAAGTGGTTACGCCATCGGGCAGCATAGATCAAAGGAGTTATGACAGTTTTTGAAGTGGAGAAGAGGTTGCAGGGTGTTGTGAGTCTGGTCATTATGATATCTTTATTTTTATTCTGGTCTTTATTTTTCTCTTCTCTTTTTCTTTCCTTTTCTTTTAATCTTCTTTCTCTTTCCCTCCCTCTTCCCTCTTTCTTTTCTCGTATTACCCAGCCCGGTACGACGGCTTGGTCAGCCCGGTAAAAACCGTCAGGGGAGGGGAAGTTTTCCCCCGCGCCTGTTACGACACTGGCTAACACGCCAATCATCCCCCCCCCCCAATGAAAAATATTTTTCTACGCCACTGCTTTGTGGCAAAATTACCAACAGAAGCGTTTGTTTGCTAAGAATTTAATTAAACAAAAGATTTTGGAAATGAGAGTCAATAAATCAATAGCTATTGCAAACAAAGGAGGCCAAAGCTGTAGAGAATTTTGGCAATTACTCAGAGGGTCAATTCAAACAACAGTATACAAATTGTTTCAAGGTAACAAGGTCAGAAAAAATTGTAACTGATGTCAAAGAAAAGACGGAAACGTTGACAAATTATTGATTCACACGTGAAGTTATATTTAA